GGTTTGGGTTTGGGTTGGGGATCGCTCACTCAGTGGCTCACTCAGCTGTGGGACTCGTAGTTTTGGGGGGTGGTGTGGTGTGTGTACACAATTTTGTTTTATGGTTTTTTAGTTATGAAACTGAAACTGAATTACACATGTATATGTGTGTAATGGCAAGCATGTTACACAGCGCCAGCAAAAACAACAATGATTGTAGCGCTGTCGATGTTTGTTTCTGTTGTTGTTGTTGTTGTTGTTGTTGTTGCTTTTGTAGTTCAGACGACCACCGCTGCCGCTGCTGCTTTTGCTGCTGCTATTGTTGTGGCTGCTGCTGTTGTTTCCCTTTTTTTCCTCGTGTTTTTTTTTTTTTTTTAATTTTACGTTGGCATATTTACGCAGCATTTTTTGCATGCTCGAAAAGCAGGGAAACTGCGAAACGAAGCGCAGGGTTGGAGGGTTGGAGAGTAATGAAGCAAACTGTTGGCGGTTTGGATCGGCAGTGGCATTGAAGGGTGCCAGCCATGGCAACCGACACCAACCAGATAATACAAACGTTGTTTAAACTTTAAACGCAATCCCCGACCACGGCCATAAAGTGATACATGAAACGATGCCCGAGAGCCTGGCCATGGGTGAAATTGAACATTCCTGAGTTTCCCCCGACTTTCTGAGTTTCTCAGTTTCGCCCGAGTTCCTGAGCTGCCGCCAGATAAAAGCAGAAAGCTCTGCATATGTAAACGCCGGCCAGCAAAGCGCATTTTACCCCCAAACGATTTTACTCTAGGCCAACCAACCAACCAGCAAACCAGTCAGCCAGCCATCCAGTCAGCCAGCCATCAAGGCTTTTAGCCCACGGCTGGAGCTCTTTGGTCGCTTATTTGAATGCAATTGACTGAAGGCTTAGCCAACATTATGTGTGGCCTGGCTGGGCTTAGACTGTTGGCGACATGTTGGCTTTTGGCTCAGCCATCAGTCGCCCAGGAGGACAAATGGACGACAGATAGACATTCAGATAGGCGGACACACAGATAGACAGGCGGCAACAACAACCAGTTGCAGCAGCAACATTCACCAGCAACAGCAACAGCAGCAACATCACGCATACATGTATTTCCGCATCCGCTTCCGTTTCCGCTTTGTGCATTTCAAAGTAGCAGAAGAAGAAGAAGGAGCATCAGGAGGAGCATCAGGGGGTTAAGGGGAGGAGGGTGATGGGGAGGTGGGCGTTCGGGTGTTAAGGACAGCGACTACGGCAGTGACAACTGTCATGCTTTTATGGCCACATTTGCCAATTGTTTGCTGAATTGTTGACGTAAATGTCGCCCGGATGAAAGGGCCCCATCCGTCGGAGTTCTCGGAGTCCTGTATCCCTGAGTCTCCGGTTATCCCTGGAAGTGGATGTGTGGATGTGGATGGGGCAGACGTGGCAGACGTGAGTCCGCCTCGGCTTCATCGCATTATTGCGTTCCTTGCGACCCAATTGCTCCTTGTTCGCTGCTACAGCATTCACCCGCATTCGCATTCGCATCCGCCAGTTAATCCTGTTTAAAGGACACTCGGCTGACAGATTATGCCACCCAAAAGGGAAAGGGCACTAAAGTCCGGGCTGCACGTTGCCCAGTCGATCCGCCGCACCTGTTGTAATCATTCCGTAATCCGTTGACGGCGACACGTTGCCACAAATCCAACGCACGCAAGCTCTTTGATGCGGAAATTTGACTCGAATTTTCACGCACATTTCCCCGTTTTGTGGGGCCAGCAGTGGAAAGCGAGGGAAAGTAGGTTCGGGGAGTGGCTAAAAAGCCACCTAGTTGCCTAGTCCAAAACACAGTCAACTGCCTGAGCAAACAACTTGATTGCACGAATTGCGACACAGGAATCGCGATGACAGGTTGCCTGACAGAATAAATAAGCGACTGAAGGACGGATTGACATCGGGAATGATGAAATTAATAAATGTCGGAATTCGGGCTCACTTATTTATGCTGTCACAGCAGCGTTTATTATGTTATGGTAATTACCGCGCTGAAATAGGCAGCTTAATATCGATACGCATTAAATTTACATGAAACATATTAAAATGTTCAGAATTTAATTATTAATCCTCAATTAGTATTCTACATTTTTTGTGTTCGTCCATAAAATGATTGTTTTTTTAAAATTGAATTAATTTTCTCTTTTCCCTTTTTTTGTTTTTGTGAGGCTTTAATTTATTAAAAGCAATAAACTTTTCGAGGTATGCCACTTAAAAATCTGAATAAAATTAGAAAAGTTATGGACTTAGAATTAGCAATTCTTATCAAACTTCAGCAAACCCATTTTTTGGAAAGGGGTTTCTATCACAAAAATTGATGCCGTTCGTTAGAGAATTAAAATAGAAGCATTTAGAGGTAAACCTCTTCAAAATCTGACTAAAAAGTTATGGCCTTAAAATTATTGAATTTTTGTCAATTTTCAACAAAACCCATTTTTTGGTAATTTCGAATGGAAGAAAAGTTATTGACTCATTAGTGAATTTTGGTCAACTTTCAGCAAACCCTTTAACATACATAACTCATAAAAACGAAGCGGATTACATTTCGTTACTTTTAATTGAACTTGAATGTAAGAGAACTTCATGTAACACAAGTAAATTGTGTTCAAAAAACAAGAGCATTACAATTTCATAAGATAGATTTAATTTAATCTGTTTTTAATTGTAAATCCAACCAGAATAAACTTTTTTGTGGACATGCATACAAATGATTCAATATCTACTTGTATTACGAAAGGGTTTTATTACTGCTTTAAAAAGCCTGGATAAAACATATAAATACAAGCAAATCAGTTAAATTAAAATGTAAAGAATTTACTTTTCTGGCAGGAGTATAAAATCATTTATTTACTTAAAGCTTTTAATGAAAGTTTAAATGAATATTGCCACTACATAAACGTAAATCTATAATTGATAACTTTTTATCCACTTATAGAGTAGCAATTTCATAGCTCTTGAGCCTTGAACTTCACTTTTAAAGCACTTGTTGCAATATTCATCTTAATTTATTATTAGCTTTAGTTTAATTTCAGAACGTATCCTTTACCTTTTTTTTAAAGAGTGCAAGGCTTGTTTAATCCAGTTTAATTGATAGTTTTTACAAGTTTAAAAGTAATTGTTTTCGATTTATAACAAGTGAGCGTTGAACTTTGTGCTATAACGCTTTTTAGGGTCTGCAAAAAATAATAATCCCAGCTCTGGTTTTCTTTTTCCCAGCCCGGCAAACATTGTAATCTTTTGCAGGGGCGCTCGGTGGGTGGTTTCAGTGGGTGGTTGGTTGGTTGGGTGGTTTGAGTGAGTTGTGCAGTGGAACAAGCCTTCAAATTCCGTTTATTGCTTGAGCAAACGCCGTGCAGATGGCCCCAAGAGTTGGTAATGGCAACGCGCTGCAGAGTAACACCATTAAAGACGGATTCCGGCGGAGGAAAAGGGCGAAAGGGTTTTCGGGTGCTTGTGCCACGGAGCGAGCGGCATGCAATTCTTCTCATCATGATATACCTTCCGCTTGGCCGCCGCTGGCAGCCAAAACCCCACGCCCCCCTGCCACCCCGCCCACTTTGCCGCCCCGCCCCTCCTTCGCTGTTGGTTTTAATTCAATTTAACAATCTTTTTTTCGCTCGTTTTGTTGTTTTTTGCGCTCTCCTTTGCAGTTTTTCGCCCAGTTTTTCCTCTGCTGCGCCGCTGCATTGTTGCTGACAGCGGAAGTGCAGCCCGGCCAGCGACGCCGACTGCGGCAGAGGCGGCGGCGGCGGCGGAGGCAGCGACGCCAGCCATTAGTGCAAATGAAATTGCATTTTGTGTGCCCCAAACACTCAAAGAAATTTAATCAAAGGCGCTGCGATGCGCCTGGCATATTTTGCTATATGCTATATGTTCGCATGCATATACATACCTCTCTTTATATTTGGCTTTATCGAGCGCGTGCATATCTGGTTTTGGCTTGCTTTTATTAGCGCTAAATCGACTGCAACGTTTTCCACGTCGGCCGAAAAATAATTGGAGATAATTTTTTCCAATATTTCATGATTTTCATGAATGGGCCCTGAAAGCCAGCTCAGGTAGCAATAAGTAATAATATCTGAATTTCCTACAGCATAATACACATTCCTACTCCCGATCCGGTTCCTAATGATGGAGAGTTCGAGTGGAGTAATTGAAACGTATTCATCATCATTTGCGAGCATTTTGGCCATTAGGACCAGCTTACGGCCGAAGGAATGGGAATTGGGGGGGAGTGGCGTGATGAACAAGGGGGCGGCAACAATCTATTCAAATAGATGATGAATAACATGCATTAAATAAGGCCTGCCAGTGAGTATATGTGGCATTAGTAGTGCCTTCACCTGGACTCAGGAGTCTCGTCACCGAAGTGCGTCCAGAGATTTACCAGAGTCTACAAATATTAATTTCGATTGAATGCAAATCGCATTTGCTGCTGGGGGAATTGTGTATGTCGTAATTGAACAATTCAAAATCCCAACAGTTTGCACTTTACAAGCTCATCAGATACCCATATTTCATTATGATGCACACAGCTGGGACATTACATCATTGAAGGACTTCTGGAAGGTTTTATTGACAAGCGATTGCCTCTTTACTCACCTGATAGAATTAATTATATAAATGCACACTAGGGCGGTCCTTTAATCACTAACATATTTAATATTCTAGATTTTTGAGTGCAATATATGTGTTTGACAACCAACAAATGATATGTTTTTTTTTGTTAGGTGTGTTGCTTTAAAAAATGTTTCAATAAAAAACAATGTTTGATTGAACCAAAGTGTAAACAACTTTCTAGCCAGTGAGCAATCAAATTAAAATACTCACCTTTGGGTAATAATAAATAAAAAAATAAATGTGTGATTGTAGCTTTAAATCACACATTTATTTTTGAATATACTTTATCTTTTTTCAGCCCACCCGCTGGCTGTTCAATCCGCTCCTGGCCCCGACTTCCTCTTGACAATAATTAAAGCCGAACTTCCTGCTGGCCCACAAATTGAGTGATTTATTGCCCCACCTCGGGGGGAGCGCCTATCTATCAGCCTTATCAACTACAAGTGCACAGAGTGGTGTTCGTTAGAGTGGAGTGGTAAGCATTTGGTTGGAGTGGCATTGGGTGGGTGTTTCACGGAGTGTGTTGCGTGTGGAGTGTACGAGTATGAGGGGGTCACACAAAGAGTTAAACATCGATTAAACTAGCAATATGTCTAATAATACCATTCAAATTTAAGTTGGAACGACGATGATATATGGTTGTTGAGTAATGTTAGGTCCAGGCAACACGTTTTCTAGCGAACTTCGGAGGAACCGCTGTCTGCGAGGTGACCACATTTAAAGAGCGAGATTTGTTGAGGCGCTGCAGGTCATCTTCTCCGCGCGCCGGTGGCAAATCCTGCCACACATCCAGGTTGAGATTCGAAAAGGAGTCGCTCACCTTGGGCACAAGGTTCTCCTCTACCGAACTCTCAGAAACAGAAGATTTTGACTCCACTGCCTTGAGATTTGTGGTAGGTTGAGATGCGACTTCCACTTCCTCCTGGCTGAGTTGCTCCAGTTGCTTGTTGGCCTGCTCGATTCCCGTCAAGTGCTGGCTCCTCAACTCCACCAAGGTCTGCTGCTGGCTGACATTCTCCTGGAGCATTAGGCCCAGGCAATCCTTCTCCTGATCGATGAACTTGCTCAGCTCATTATAGCGCTGCAGGTGTTGTTCCCGCCAGTTTTCCTCGCAGCGTTGCAGATTGTACTTGGCCTCCGATTCGTACATGGTTTCGATCTGAGCACAGGCCAGTTCCTCGTGCTCCAACTGGGTGCGGTACTTCTCCAGAAGAGCCTGCAGCTCCTCCGTTTTAACCACGTACTTTGCCATTCGCTGCAGCATATTGATGCACAGAGAAATCTGTTTGCGACTGGCCTCACTGCGCTGTCGAATGAAAACCTTAATCTTCTTGAGGTTGAAGGCGTGTCCTGAATCCACACGCTTGAGCACGAGAGCACTGCTCTCCTCGAGAAGCTCCCGCTCCTTGTCGAGTTCACCCAGGAAAAGCTGGAAGTGCTGCTCCTCCTCCTTCAGTTTTTCAGCTTCTTGCTGCCGCAATCGGAGTTCCGACATGTGGGATTCCTGGAGGGCACGAAGTTCCCTTAACTGCTGCTCCCTGATTTGCTGACGTTCCTTTTGAGCCTGTTCCGTGCGACTGATCTCCTGCTGCAACAGAAGTTGCCTTTCGGCAGCCAGAGCCTGTTGCTCCTCCTTCTGCTGCTGATTTTCGATCTGGCGATCCAACCAATTCAGTTTGGCCAGCACTTCGTTGTCCGACTTGGATTGATAGAGCAGCTTCTCATCATCGACGCCATGTCGCCAGCGACCGTACAGCTTGGCCTCCATTTCCAGTTTGCGACGCAGTTGCTCCTGCTCCTTAAGAGATTGATTGACACGTCCCAGCATTTGGAGGTCACCACCGCCAGGTTCCCGCGGACGACGTCTTCGCTCCAGCTCATTGTCATAGGCCTCCGATTCGGTGGTCAGAAGCTGGCGAAGTCTATTCCTTCGATCATTTAGCGCCGCCTCCTTCTCCTCTTTTTCTCGACGGGATTGGATCTGCTGGCCAGCCTTCTCGTAGTACTTCTCGTTGGTCCAGTTATCGAAGCGCGAGGTCACCTTGCCCCAGTGGCTGTAGTAGCTGTTCACCGCCTGTGTGGCCTGCACCCGGTTGTTCTCCTGCTCCACACGTTGCGCATACGCCGCGTGTTGCTGGGTAAGGCGACTCGACATCCTTGGTCCTTGGTCCTTTGCACTGAGTACTGGTTACTGTTTACTGGGTTAGTCCTCCTCCTTCCGCCTGCAAAACAAACACACACACAAAAAGAAAGAGGAATTGAGATGGAGGATGTTCAAAGTGGAGGCGCCAGTTGGCTGACAAGTTCATAAACTTTTAAATTGGGGCCAAGGCAAGTCGAGGATAATGGAACAATGGACGATGGGAGCGGGAACTTCCATTTGCAATTTAGCCTCGGCTGCGGAAGGAATCTCAGCTGGACACACACTTCGAAGGGAGGGGTGTGGGGGCCAAGCAACTTCATTCAATTAGCTCGGAAATGTTCAACTCTGAACTCACCTCTGTGGAGTAGATATGCGCCACGTCTGAGTTGCAGGAGGATCAGAGAGCTGAATGTTTACTGTACGAGTGGCATTTCCCTTTCCTGTTTTTTTTTCTGGCTTTTATGTGCTGCCTACTCAGAGCATTGAATTTTTGGAAATTTTGGGAAAATACACAACCCAGCGAATGCCATTCTTCGGTCGGTCAAAGGCCGGAGACCCAATTCTCGTGGCGCTGTTGGAAAATGCATGACTGCCAACCGGACAAGCGTTATGGTTACCCGGGCTCTCCATTTCTGGTTTTTTCTCCAACAAACTGCAGCCATCACCGCAGCTGTCACTAACTGCCAAAGCAGCAGCAGCGCAGCAGCAGCAACAGCAACAGCAGCAGCGCAGCAGCAACAGCAACAGCAACAGCAGCAGGAATTGCCTGCAGAGCGGCCAAAACGCAGAAATATGGCAAAATCTGTTCGGATCGCCCCCTGTCCACACTCGCAACTGGCCATCTCCGCAGCCGTGACCCTGCTCCCGAAACATTTCCCGGCCAGAACCAGCCGCCAATCCATCAAGAGGGCGCCCGGCAATCTGTCAGAGGGGCTGGCATGCAAATGACCACACTCGCAGAAAAAATACCGCGGTAAATCAGTATGTAATAAATGGTTGTGTGGTGCTAAAACAAAAAAATGTGAAGTCAACAAAATAGCAATTTAACCACCTACAGTAATCACAGCTCACATGAGAAGTACCACAACAAATGCTCGCTTTAAGATAATACTATAAAGCTAAGCTTTTATAAACACCTAATTCCCAAGCGATGTGTGGCTTGTGTTTGTCCTTAAAGTCATAAGTCAAAGATTTGGAATTTCAAGAGGACTTAAAAGTCCTGTGCTTTTAAGAGCTCGTAAAATGCTAAGCATTAAAACTTATCAAACTGCAGGAAATGTATGTTTATTTTGAGAGGGACTCTTAATGATATTTCTTACACTAAAGTTCCGAATATTTCTTAGAGTTTATGGCCCACTCACCAAATGTCTACCTACCAAGCCATAAAACTTTATTGGCGTCAAACACTAGCTTTTAATATTTCTAAGTGCAGAAGTTTGTGACCGAAGGTGTGAGGCTGACTGAGCTAATTTCCCAAAGATTTATGGCCAGCACGAAGCGCATTGATATATGCCAAATTGTTTACAAATTGATTGCATTATTAATAATGCCCACAGAGCCCGATCAAAGCCGCTTTCGGTCTCGTTCCGAATTCAATGGAAAATGTCAACGCGCAAGGTGTGTGGGTGTGTGTGCGGAAAATGGGGGCGCGGAAAATGTAAAATATTCGAACAAAGTACTCCTTATGTCATATGACAGACGACAAACTTTGGTAATAAATCAAACAACAGGCGTCGACGCCGTTTTGTAGGCGGAATGCTAAACTTGGAAGCGATTCGTTCGGTTTGGTTCGGTTCGGTTTTAGTCTCCTTTTGCGGCATATCTTAGTGGGCGGTAAAAAGGGGAGGGGTGTGGCAAAATTGTGAAGTGGGGTGGTGCGCCACACGTGGAATACAGCGGCAGCAGCAGCAGAAGCAGCAGCAGCAGTGAAATGCCAAGATGCCACCGCTATATAGACTTAATACACTTTCGGCACACACAAATTCACTTCCTTAATTGAAATTTTAATTTGAATACTTTGGCAAAGTTTTGGCCGACAGCCAGCAGAGAGTGAGACAGCTCAGGCAGCAATAACAAACAGCCAAAAAGTCGCCGAAATCCATACCATCCCCCCACCATCCATTTTCCCCCTGTGCGATCCCCAAACATCCATCCATTTCCACAGGCAATCTCGCACAGGCTCAGCGCATTTTCAATTTACGCGCCTCGCGAGTCGTTTGTCATTTTATGCGCCCTAATATATGGCATGTGCGTGCCGCTACAAGGATACCAGTATCCTTCTCCCTGGCATCCCTTCCTCCTCCTTTTCCCTTCCTTTTCCCCTCTCCCATGGAGTGCCCACCGATTGAAGGGGGAATACGGCTGGCAACCAGCAAGGCGTTACTAATCAGCACAGACAATGATATGGCGACATCTGATGAATTGTTCGCCCTGCCGAAGATTTCAATTGCGGGTTTTGGAATAATTCCAAATAAGCGTGCACGCAGAAAAAATGATATAATAAAAGTAAGATTTACGATGAAATATAGCTGATTGTCACATAATTAGTTTGAGTACGTAGCAGCTCTAATAAGGCTTTTATATAACTAATAAAACTCTGTGTATGATAAAAGGAAATTAATACAATACCAACGATAGTCAACTTATTTACAAATAAAACTTGTTGGAACTACTTTAGAGGTACTTCATTGGTAATTAAAAGAAAAATTAAAAACTATATTAGGTCAGTTTTCGATTAAAAAACCCGAAAAGAAAAAACCCCCGACTATCTTCGACAGCTCTTGTCTTTCATCAGACATGGAAACCGGCCCTTGGCTTCAAATCAATAAATTACTACTTCACATTATTGGCCGATACTCATTTGGCTTGGGACCAATTTATTTCGATTGAGATTATGCTGATAGTGAAAATGAAATATTGGAAACTGATATGGCACCTACTGAGTGGAGTATTCTGTATTTTTACTCGCCGTGTAGGTAGACTCTTGCACGGCTTACCCATCAAAGAGTTTTCATTGAGGCCTCGGGGAATCCCCAGCGAGTGCAATTACTTTTGTTAATTGTAATACACACGGCCGCAGAGACACCCGTTTATTTGTCTAATGTGCGAGAGTGTAAAGCTTCTGGCCCGATAATGTTTACCTTGGTGAATACCCAACCCAAGGGCAAGAGGCAAATCGCGGGGAGGTGGTAAAATAAAAGAAGGCCTGTGATTTTGCGTGTGATTTTTGCCCCCATCGGCATTTTTCATTGGGAGAGCGTGCCAAGGCGTAGTTAGTGAGCGGCACTTAATGCCCTGATAAGATGTGCGATTATCGGGTAGCCAGTCGAATGGTAAATTATGGACACAATGGCTGGCATTATTAGCCATCCGAAGTCGATCGGGCAATGCTCTAACCGCGGCAGTTCATCCCAAAAAAACGCTCGGGGATCTACAAAATATAATTATATCCGCTTGATGAACTCACTAAACTTGATTTTTATATTGTTATCACTTGCATCACAAACCGAAAATATTTTTAAACAAGCGTTTAATTTATTGTATTATTTAAGAATAATAATCTGTATTATCTGGAACAAGAAAGTTGTAAACGGAAATAATTCCTATATTTGTATTAACAACTTATTGGATCTTTACCTCTTTTTAACATTCCTAAATGAAAATCGTAAACATTTTTCCCTGTGTGGTTATCTGAATTGCACACCTGTGCTCGTAAAAGTATCTTTAATTATCCAGGTGTGGGGTGTACAAATTACGTTTGAACCATGGAATAAATCGAATTTCCCTCTGATAAAAATAAAAAGTGAAAACTGAGTACTCATTTTCCGACCCGAGCAGATAGGGTGTCCATCAGATGTGGATCCAAGTGGAGTATCCCCCAAAAAAGGGAAGAGCAACTCAAGATTACAAGACCTAATCAAAGGCACCTGTTGGTGGCGTTCCGAAGTAGTTGGGTTTCTTAAGTTCTTGTCGATGAGCTGGAGCTTTAGTTCAGTTGGCGTAAGAGTCAAAGGCACACATCATGGGCGACAAGGCGTCTGGATCCTTCTCCGTTTCCCACTCGTTATCGAAATCCCCAAACAACTTCACGGACTCGCAGCTCTTCGAACAACAACAGCTGGCCACGAGTTGTGGTAAGTACCGCCACAACTATTTTGCTGCTAAAACAATTCAACAATTTCCAAGAGCGTTCGAGAAATTTCCCCTTTTTGAAGTGTAATAAATATCGAGTTCGAGGGGCGGGGGGCGGGGGCGGGGGGTGTGGTCTGCGTGTTTACCTTGCCGCAAGTATAAACAGCAAATAAAATAAAGCAGCAGAGCTGGAGGTTGTTGGGTTGAGAAAATGAGTCCGGTGATTTGGACTTCCTTTTGGCGGAGGCGCCAGAACGCATCTGTCGGTGCTCCCCCTAAATTTTCGACCCGAATAACCTGTGTGCACACCGTCTTGCTAATAGAAATCAACAAAAGCGCAAAGAAAAAAACAAATTTAGATTAAGATCGAGATGAAGATGGAATGTGTTTGCTCGCCATAAATCGACGACGGAAAATAAAATGCTGTTAATTTGTCTATCTATCCAATCTCGGCACACCGTCTAAAGCCATTTAATGCCAGCCACATTTGCAGCGGACTTCCCCCAAAAACCAAACCGATCCCACCGAGGGGCATCCCCGATCCACAAAAAAAAAAAAAACAAAATAATACAAACACAAATTAAAAAAGAGTATGTCCGGTGCCGGTGGTCAAAGAAAGCAAATGACACAGAGAACGACGGCCAGAGATGCTGTCACTGCAGTCACTGTTTGAAAAAAGAAGTCGCGGTTTATTAAAAGAATCGGAAAAACTTCGAAACAATTTAAAAAGCAAGCACATGAAAACAATTCACATAATAAAAGGATATAATATGTATTTTTATAAGTTATATCATTTAATTTTAAAATAGATCAAGTCATAACTATAAAAATTAATGCAAGTAACACTGAATCGATATAAAAGTAGCTTCAAACAGGATAAGAACTCTAAAACCTCACCACCTAGAGTAATTAGATTGCCTCAACCTAAAAAATTAAAATCTTTTTTCAAAGGATTACTGATTTTTGATTTGATTTAATAGTTGATATCACAAGAAACTGTTTTTCCAATAAATTATAAGGGGCAAATATCGACGCAAGCAAAGTAAACGTAAATTCTATCAGTTAACAACAGTCATAAAGGTCAAATTTCACTATACTATGTAATCATGTTATCGCCAATAAGATCTTAGTCATAATGACACTGAAACATTTCCGGCCCCTACTAAAAATAATTAAAGACAACAATATATGGAATTGGCGCCTTCATTCATCAAACCAAATAAAATAGGAACCAGCAGTAGAAATTCCGAGCTTTGTCTTTAAAAATGATTATAACCATGTTTGAAAGAGTTGGTAAAAGACAATGGATGAGTCACAGACTCCGAGTGATTTTTATTTCCCCACGAATCTTCGTCAAGTAACAGTGACAATAATTAATCGTCATAGAGAGATTTGAAATAACTTAACCTTTGCCACTGGCGATAGCTAAAAAAACAGTCTGCAGCTGACGGATTGTTTATACAACTATTGTCAACAAAGTTCCCCCCAGCTGATTTATGGATTCGATAGGGAGCTCTTATCAGTAGCGACCTTCAGAATTGACCGATATTGGTCTACTTAAGTTTATGGAGTGCCTGCCCAATCCCAATGATCAGCGATCCGCATCACGGTCTTCTAATCGCCATAAACCAAAGCAGTGATAATTGTAATCACTCGAAAATGTCGGAAGTTGTGATTGCGAGGCGTGAATTTTGCCCTATAGCCTAGGCAACGTTTTCAGTGATTAACCCTAATTGCATATCAGAGTGATAGGTGTCGGGTGTAATCATTTCATGCACGCAGAGAAATGAGGGAAAGTTTCAATTGCTTTTCATATAAATACTAATCGAATGAATTATTATTTTTATAGGTGTTAAAATAGAAATGCTAGTCATTAAGTTCTTAAATTCTCAAGAACATGCTTAAACAGATAAAATAGTATTAAAATGGAATTGTAAAATTCTTAAACTTTGGAATTCGGAAAACCAATTTGAAATTTAATTTTAGCAAGGGCAATTTATTTCTATATGTAACAGTTTCTTTAACGCGGAGTGCCGATTCACGGTGACACGTGTGGTGGCCCTCGTAGCAACAGTGTTCGCAAAAAGAACCCTTCGAATGGAAAGGAAAAAGCACCGCCGATCTAAAGAGGTGAAATGCGGTTGAATGGGGCCAATGAATTCGCGAGGGCTTGGGTAATTCACCGCGCACCACTCGCTCTCTAGTGGGCTGTATTAATTTTCCCTAAGAGACCGCGTTGTGACCTTAGCGGAACTTTGCGGCTGATAACGATACTATTATCAAAAAACAGCGACGTCGACTGAGGCGGCGACGTCGACAGAGGCAGAGGCGGTAGCCGAGGCAGAGGCGGTAGTCGAGGCAGCGAAAAGCTCACTCCGAGAGCAAAATCAAAATGGAAGAGCGAATGGCGAGAGCGATCGGGCCATAAGTTCCATGCGATTAGCCATTTGTTTGGCATTGCTTCGACGGCAGCGGCGGCGGCAGCAACGGAAGGCAGCGAGCAGCGACGTCGGCAGCGGCGGTGCGAATTCGGTGTGTGAATTTTTCTATAAACTCGGCGCCGCCCTTATGCTGGCCAACATTCGCGTTTAGTGATACGGAGCATAAGGCCGCTATGCGAACGCTGCCGAACTAAAGTCTGACCTTCGCACACTTTGTCGAAATTTTGCACAATTCTTGCCACAACAACCGATAGCGGCCAACAAACAAACCAACCAGCCAACAGCAAAACAAACAACCAAACAAACTAGTAACAACCAGCAGCAATCGACACAAAAGTTCCTAAATCAAAAACACATTTTGTGCGCGCACACAAGTTCCTAAGTAGCTGAAAGTCAGCAAAACACAAAACAAAACGCAAAAGAAGCAGCAACATTGCAACAGCAACAGCAATATAGCAGCAGCAGCAGCAACAGTAACAGCAACAGCAATATTGCAACAGCAACATTAGCAACAACATAACGAAATGACGGCACTGGGATTAGTTTTGCTAACAATGATGGGTAAGTTCAGGGTGTTGGGAAGACTTTCTTATCGCATTGCCCCTGAAATTGTAAACCCAGGAGATATTAAAGTCTTATCAGGGGAATCGGTTTGATTTTAAAATAAAATTTCTGGGCGCCCATCAACTGCAATCAGCGTCAGTTGAGCACTGATAGCCACACACAGTAATGTATATATGCAACGAGCCCTGATCGGCGGTCTTTATAATGTATAATGTATGCATAATTTGCACGGCGTCAGATATGTGATTTTTTGTTTCAATTAATTACTGACATTTAACAAAATTGTCATTTACGACCTGACAGCCAGCGGGCGAGTGAAATGATTTTTGATTTTAATATTCATAATTATACTCGTACCCTAACCGCAGCTCGGAGTCGCTTATCAAGTTCTCCGGCTTAAAATTGCTTTAGCATTTTAGCGAAAAGAGATAAGGAAATCATCAATGGAATTTAATATCACTGTAGTATAAATTCCTTATTAAGCCAAAACAGCAGATAACAAAAGAAGCAGATATGTATATAATTATTTTATTATTTAAAAATACGAATTTTAAAATGATTCCAATATTACATGCCACAGTGGGTTTGTGGTGCAAAGTGGTACAACAATAAAACAAAAAATTAACTGAACCATGAACATAAATAGCCGAAACAAAATATTCAAAACAATATTGCTATGCATAATGCAGAAAATTATAAGCCAAAATTCCACCAGTGCATTTATTGATTATATAGAAAATTAAATAGCAACCTTGTAATTGCAAAAGTGAATGTGTCAGTGAAATCAGGCTATTAATCACATCAAAAACCACAGCTCATCAGAGCAATTATATTTCTATATAGAAAAAACCGCTGTAAAGTCAGTGCAGTAAAACAGAAAATTTTCCTGAAAACTTGGCTTGTGTTTTAACAAACCGAAAAAAATATTTATTAGCACACCAGTTAAGAGTATTAAATTAATATGCATTTAAAGGAATATTTTAATTAATGCATTAAAGTATTTCTAGCGAAGAGAATTAAATCTTCGGTTTTTTGACCTAGAGCGATCGCTTTCTTTTGTTTTTTGCTTTTTCCCTGTTTTTGCTGATTTTATTGTGTTCTTTTTTCTGTTTGTTCGCTCCGGGTACTTTTTTCTTTTCCCGTTGCGCGTTACGCGAATATTGGCAGTTTTTTGCCTGTTGCTTTTTAATTTTTGTTGTAATCGAGCGTGACTTAATTTCGCACATTACCCCCCCCCCAGAAAACAATATACGAGTATGTACGGTGCAGGGATATTTGTTTAATGGCAGACTGACGGCCTCTTCTTCGGCATCGTCAACATAATAATATTGAAATGTCTCTATTATGTGCTTTGCCTGATTAAAAACAAACAATTACCTAAGGGACCACTCCACACTCATTTTGTGTGTGTATGTGTGTGTGTGTGTGAGTATTTCTGCCACTCTAATTATTCGCTGGTAATTTAAATACTTCAATTATGCCGGAATTTAATCAGTAGAGCAGCGCGCCCGATAAACGGCTGTGGGATTAATCGAAAATTATCAAAGAACTTTGCGCCTCTGCCAGCGAAATTACTTTTTGTAACGAAGTGCAGGTAAAAGGCTCAGGTGGGGCGTTAGTTTCGCTTTTGCGGGGAGTGTGAATTTTGGGGTTTCAGTTGGCTGGCTTTTGGGGCGCGAGCGGGTGCCACAAAGTTTGCAACATTGATTAGGCCAACGGGTTTTAATGTTTACTTTATTAGGCCGCGTAATTAGGGTAACCATTAGGGGAGCGGGGTGATTTTGAGCTCGTCGTGCTCGGCAGTAAATACAAATGTAATTAACATGTTACACACACTAAAAACTAAGCGGCATAAATTAAACAGCCAGCGATTTGGCAGTCCCCTCACATCCCAAAAACTCCTTTCCCGTTGCCGCTCTGTTTATTATTCAAGCACGTGCCGCCGACGGAGTCCAGAGTCCTGGATCCTGAATCCTGGATGCTGGATCCTGGTTCCCGAAGAGGTGCCAAAATGCGGGCGCGACACTCGTAAACAGAGGGGGATAAAGTAATAGCACTTGGAATCCTTTATGACAAATTTATGAACACACGTATGATTTAAAATAAGCACATGCAAAGCCGTAAAAACGTTTGTTAAACAACACTCTTTATTATTATTTATTTGGCCCCTGGTTCAATAAAAAATAAACCTTTTTGTATTTGGGCTTAAAAAGTTGTTTCAACATTCAAACAAACATTTTTATATTTTTTAAGATAACAACAAAAATGCTTTGCAAATGCTTCTTTTTATTAAAAAACAGGTAATTTTAATGATATTTTCTACAATCCAACTAGTTGTGTCAAATATCTTTTATTTGATAACCTTGAAACATTTAGATTTTACATCATTAAAGTCATTACTATTTTCATTTGACGAAAAACGGTAACGCACTTAGTATTTAATTAGCACTTTTCCTGAAATAAAACACGCCATTGTGCAATCCATCCCCGTGCTTGATAAATAGTGCGCTACTATGTTGACCCGCGCTGTGTGCCCACGCAACTTTCGCTCTCCGTAAATTTTAATTAGAAACTGCCGCTATTAACTTAGTCGAGTGCTGCGTCTCCTGCTTCCGTCGAGTCGTTTTTCCGCCATTTCCACCCACCCCACTTGCAACCCACGCGAAGTTTTCCGTATGCATATAAATGCTGAGGGCGTATAGCCGCTGTGGGCGTGGCTGGAAGTTTCGGCAGACGCCGGCAAACATGGCCAAGGCCGCCCGAATTTCCCACCCGTCGCTTTTCATGTTTGCCAACTCCAGAAGCAGCAGAAACAGCAGTGGAAATAGCATACATACGTAATGAAGAATTTGAATGAAATAGTTTTCGGATCGGAGTACCAATTTGCATTTATGACTCACGGCCGGGAATCAGGGCCAAACGGAACTGAGCTTCGGCCTTTTCAGCCGGCCAACTAACCGGTGTCAACGGCCAAACGCTCACGCCATTGATAGATGATACCCGTTGCGATACTCGGATACTCGGATACTCGATACCCGATACCCGTAGCACCTGTTGCGAGTTGGCTTCCTCTGCCATTTGGCTTTTAAACGCTTTGCATTGAGCAGCCGAAAGCGGCTGAGTCATGCTGATACGGCTCTAACCAGAACGAACCGAGAATGCCCTACTCAATAGATACATTTATCCGAAGATAATCCGTGAGCGGCACACCATCGATTTTCGCCGTTCAAACCCTGCGAACAGTTTTCCGTGGACCGATGTAAATATTTACGTTCACTTTCAAGGCAGTGGAAAATATAGTGCACCAAAAAAAAATTAAATAACACACAGTGTTTGGCTCGAAGTTGGGCGCAAATATTTATTTTCGAAAAGTAAAAGTACTTGTTTTGGTTGGGAAAACTCCAATTGGTTGGCTAATTAGTTGCCAGAGGTAATTTGCTACTGTTTAACTATTTTGTGTACTATGTTTTATACTTTGTAACAGCTAGCTAGTAAAAAGTTCATATTTATTTAGTGTCATAAAATAATTAATTTAAAGTTGACATAAACAAGTAACCCTTGATTTCACCCTGGAATATTGAGCTTGTGTGTTTGTAGAAGCGAAATCAAACAATCAAATACAAATCACCCATCACGACAGCAATTTAGCATATTTGATTCCCGCTCAGCGGCGGCTGATGACGATCGCTATTGCCAATCGGAGCCGATCGACAACTTGTTTTTTTTTTTTTTTGTGTTTTAGCCGGTAACGGGGGTTTTCAGTGGAAGTCGGGGAGTTGCCGACTCGCCAGACGTCAGTGCAAAATCGTGGCTCGACGGAACCGCAGCCACCGCCGCTGAAATCCGCAGACAGACAGCGACGCGTTGGGGAACTCAGCTACAATTTATCAATGGAATTTGAACGATGTACGGTAGCAGCACCGCAGACCGCACGCCCCCTTTACGCACACGCCCCCTTTTCAATTAGGGCCAAACAAATGTTAACTGTCTTGCAAGTGCTAGTGTTTTTTTTTTGCGCCATAAATAACTCATGGCACTAGTTAAAATTGAACTTGTTTATGCCACGCCGTGGAATTCACAAAACAATTCACAATATCAAATGTAAACAAGAGCTTCGCGCTGAAAACAAAATCTAAAAACCAAATTTTCCATGTGGGATGTACCCAAGCAATTCTCGAAATTGAAGTGAATTGGTTTTGCAATGCAAACAAGTAAACAGGAATTCGGGAATCTACGTTTACAGCTGACTTGCTATACAAATTAAATAAAATTTTAAAGAAATAGTGCGGTTTTAAGTTGTGGTAAATTAAAGCACTCTTCAGTTGAATTGTGATTTGAAAGTGATTTAAACTAAATTTAAAAAAAAAGTTAAACTTTACTAAACCAATACCTTTGTCTTTTAGGCTATGGCCAACATATGCAGCCGTCGAGTATGAGCGATGGAGTGGCCACCGCTCGACTGCTGTCCCGCTCCGACTGGAGCGCCCGTCCGGCCAAGTCGGTGGAGCACTTCGAGGGTCCTGCCCCCTACGTGATCATCCACCACTCGTACATGCCGGCAGTGTGCTACAGCACTCCGGACTGCATGAAGAGCATGCGCGAAATGCAGGACTTCCACCAACTCGATCGCGGGTGGAACGATATCGGCTATAGCTTCGGAGTCGGCGGCGATGGCATGATCTACACCGGAAGGGGATTCAACGTTATCGGAGCCCATGCGCCCAGGTACAATGACAAGAGCGTGGGCATCGTGCTGATCGGAGATTGGAGAAGTGAGTACATTGCAACAAAAAATTCAGTTTTAAAACTATTTAAAATAATTAAAAAAAAAAATACTTTCTTTGTAAATTATTTACAAACATTTTTATGAAAATAAAATGCTTAAATTTATTACTGTAACCCAAAAATAATTAATGTCATTTAGAGGAAAAGTCAACTATTGAGCAGCAAAGTTTACCAATTTTTAATGAGCTTTATTTCACAAGAAAATAACTAATGAATTTCAAACTATATTTCCAAAGTTTTCAATGCCATTATAAAGAGATTTCGCTTTATCAAAATTATTTTTCTAATTGACTGCTAAAATGTTCATTCACTGCTCAATTTACCCTTTTTCTTAGCGAACTCTTAACTAATTACCCATTTTCCCTTCTTTTTTTGCTTTCAGCTGAACTGCCGCCCAAACAGATGCTGGATGCGACCAAGAGCCTGATCGAATTCGGCGTGTATAAGGGCTACATCGACCCCGCCTACAAGCTGTTGGGGCACCGACAGGTTCGCGACACCGAGTGCCCCGGGGACAGGTTGTTCGCGGAGATCTCCGGCTGGCCGCACTTCACCCTCCTGAATGCCACCGAGGCTAGCACCGCCGCCCCCGTCCCCGCTGAACCGCACGTACATCCCCAGGCGGTGCCACATGCCCCAGCCCAATCCCCGCCAGCTGCGCCCAAGGTCTAGTTAACGACCGGGCGACCTCATCCCTCGCAAAGCCGTTTAAGAGAAGCCACAACGAGCTCGGCTCCCCGCACAAACGCCAAGGAGTTCATTCAGTATTCATTAGATGTCTCTTCGAACATTTCACAAATAAAGCAATTTCTAGATGATAACACTTAAACATAACCCCCCACAGTTGCTCTTTGGATCTTAAACGACCTCAACAGCATCGCCCCCGCGTTCGCACTTGTCAAATCAAATAGCAATTAATTTGTGTCAAATTCGATTTCGATGTCACAAGTTTTTGGTCGACGCGCATCGCAGAAAATGTCGGCGACCCCGCGGAATCGATAGGTTTTTCCAACCATTTGACGTTGGCAAACCATTCATTGAGGGGGTTGACGGAGAGTGGGGGGAGGGGAGCTGAGAGGTCAATAAGCCCCAATCCTCACGGGGCGGAAAAACAATTGTGGACGAACCGATGAATTAATAAGACCCCACGGGAGGTACCACATTGAAATTTCAAACCGAAGCGCAATAGCTTTTAAGCCGATTTTTAAAGTCCCCAAACATATGGCGATAGAAAAAGCGAGGTATTTTATGAAATAAATAAATATATAATTAATATTCGCGAAAAGCTGCCCCCCCTAACCATTATTTCCATTGGCTGCCAAGCAAATATTCCCACTGTTATTCGGTTGTGGGAATACTATATGTGCTATTTAATACTGGCATACTTTTTGGCTGCCGCTGACAAAGCAAAAAATTAGTGCCATGCTTTCGGGCATGCCGATGTAGAAAAAGATGCAAAAACATGTTTTTGATAAGGTTTATTGCAAGTTGAACAAATTTGTTTGGTAGTGACATTTACTTTAATCACTTGTTTTCGCTCTGATGGAGATATTTGATTGATTTCACTGACAGACGACGCGCGTTATATGCTGAAAATTCAGTTATAGTTTCAAACTATTTTGATGGAAAGCGAGTACAGAAGTCTGTCAGTTCAATTAGTTCATCCGAAGTTTTATTTTACGAACTTCAAATGCAATTATCATTGCAATCAATTGACAGCTTGCTTAGTGATTGGGATAAATCAAACCATTTAAATTTTCTATCATACATTTTCAAGTGACTTTACATGCTCATTAGCTCTAGCCCTAGGCCAATCGATATGTGATCATTGTCACTAAAAATATATAGCCACGCACTGGCCGATCAATCGATCGATTGCACCGCTCCCCAGAAATGTCAACCACAATTGAGTGAATCGGGGGAGCAACCACTTAGCAGACAATGTAAATATTGAAAGCGAATCGGAGAGAAGTATCATCGCATTGGGACAGGACAACAGACCGTCGAACAGAAGCACTAATGGGTTTGGACTTTCTAGACGAGTGGTTTTTATCACAGGGTAAGACCTCCCAACCACCACCCACCACCCACTCCCCCACAAATTAGCTGCGACGCCCACGCCGTTCGAGAAACTTGCGTAATTGTTGCCCATTCAGAGTGTGTGAGGATTCTGATAAGAGCCGCCTAATGAGCGGTTGACGAGGGGTCGTTTAAAGGCGGAGGTGGCCGCATCCTTGAAGTGGGCCAACACATCGTTGGTTATTAATAATTCCATTGAACTGCACCTGCCGTAAGGTCAATCGGATCCGCTATATCGCCCATACCCCCTCTGCATTCCCCTTTTGCCTTGCTGAAATCGAAAATGATGCTAAAAATATTCCTCTGTCGGTCAACAAAAATTTTCATTTCACTTCATTTTGCTCTCCCCGAAAAATGAAAAGAGATAATGAGCGACGGAATCCCAAAAAAGAGCGAGGTGTTTTCTCGAGAGCAAGTGGGAAAATTTTCAAATTTTTCAGGCATCGCCGTGCCGTTGGAAAATGTATGAATTTAGTTTTTAAAACGCCGTCATAGGCGCTGCTGCCTTCGCTGCTGAAAAATTCACTTCTGTGTTGGTGCTAGTGTTTCTCTTCGTGTGTGTGTGAGGTGTTTGCGGTTGTGGTGGTGTGCGGGTGTCTGACCCAACAAGCACACAAATAGAGTACAAACATATATATACAAAATATATAGTACAACAACGCGAACGTGCAACGAAAACTGCAGCGAACGAATGAACCAATTAATACACATAATAAAAATCCGAAAAATCCGTGAAATATCCAAAAATATATGGCACCGCCACATATTCGTGTACATTTGGGCTGCGAAATGCGCAGAAATTGCGAAAGCGCTTCGCTCAGCTCTTGTCACTGGCCAATCGATCTAATAAATCTCTCTGGAGGGGCCTTATGAATGGCCCGTTCCCAAAATACATCCTGCGCGATATTTTTAAACACTTTTGTTGACAGGCAATCTTAGGATGAAATATGGCCGGACATTCGCTCTTAGTCGCCATTTCAAACACGATTCCGGCGTAACTTTCAAGTCAAATTAGCCAGTCTCGTTAACAATTTTAATTGAAATTTCATTTTTACTGCCTTCATTTGGCTCTCTTCTGGCATTCTCTTTCATGGCTCGAAAACAGTCGTACTTCCCTAAACCAATACTACCAAGAATTTTGAAGATACGTATCTTTAAAGTACTCAATATAATTAATAGAGCTTATTAGCATACATATTTGTTTTTATTTTGTTACTAGCGTTACAATTTGGTTGAAAATGTACATCACTAATAAATTCCATTCAGATTTGGCTTGATATTTATCAAAACTAAAAGCATTTGTTATTATTCAAAACAGTTATTTTCAAAACAGCACTAGAAAAACATTTAAGCAATAGTTCTTTTCCTAGCTTAAAAATAAATATCCCTAAAAAACACAAAACTGACAAGAAATGATTGCAATGGGGGACACTTTGTCCCAGAAAAATTCATCCCGTGGAAGTCCGACTGTATTTCTAAGTATAATTTTTATTTGCATGTCATGTTTAATTAACGCCTCCATGCAGGAAAGACCGAGAAAGTGTTCCTCGCTCCGGCCAAAAAATTTGCAATCGCCCCGAACGGGAGGAATTGAAATGAATACGGGACCAAGTGGGGGCGGTGGGGGGATGGATGGTTTTGGACCAGCCATGGAATGGCAATGGAATGAAACGAATTCGGATTTCATTCTCCCTCCCCCCACGTGCCCCCACTTTTTGGCCTTTTTTTCCTCCATACACCCAGTTTTGTGTACGTTTTGCTGTCTACTTTGTGAAACGAGCCAGTTGAATAAAAACAAAAGCAACAATAACACAGAACAAAATGGATGGAGAAAAAAGGCGAAAGACGAAAGCGCCAGAGATATGTTTCCTTTTATTCTTTCGATTTGGTTCCGTTTTGTCTCTCCCACTTTTGGGCGCTTCTCTCGCCGCCTGTCTCTTTCACTTTGTTTTTTTCATTTTACTTTTTTCCACTCTCGGCGGCACAAAGAACCTAAAATTAAATATTTTCGCCTTTTACATATCGCAGCCAGTGGCAGAGCAAATCGTTTCTGTTATTGTTTTTGTTGCTCTATTCCCGTACACTCGGCTCCGTTTGTTGTTGTTTGTGCTGTTTATTGGAGTGCATATGTACGAACGGACAGACGGACGGACACACACATACGCAGGCGTTTAGCTGGACATTCACGCGGCACAGTTGCGGTCAAAATAGTAGTGGTCAGCGAATGATGCAGAGACTTGCTAACAGGATTACTCGTTTTTGCTTTCGTTCAATTAGAGCAGGAAAAGTTAAACAAAAACTGTTCGTTTTTGCCTTCCTTCAATTAGAACAGGGAAAGTTAAAAATGTTGTTTACATTTTCATGAAAAATAGGTCATTATGCTTACAAAGTGAAAAACAAGAGTCCTCATTTTGTAAGAAAAAGAACTGACTTTCTTTAAATAAAATTCTTTAATTATTCCTCACTTTATTTTCATTAAGAATTTCTAAAGGATTTAACTTTATAGAATAAGCAAAATAATTACAGTTTGCTGTAATCAGAAACTTTCCGGCTTCTATTTTTCATTTTAAATGTTGTAGCTTTCTATGGCTTATAATAAAAATTTTGTAGTCCAGCAAATGGCACAATATGTTTGCTAGACAGTTTTTCACATTCAAAATAAAAATCATTTGGACAAATGTAAATATTCATTTATTAAAACTTTTCTTGTAAACACATATTCCAAAGCTGTTGCAATTCTAAACTTTTGCAAATGCTAAAACATTATAGGATTTCGTTATTTATTTTTGCCTGAAATTAAATGAGCTTTGGTTTATTGAAAAATGAGACACCATTGTGAAAAATAGGCGACTGAATCATATTGCTAACTAATTTTAATCTAAACATATGTACTTGGACTACATATTTGACTGCAACTGTTGCTGTTTTTGCGAGCGCCTGCAAAAGCATTCCACTCAGTTGGGATTTGTTGATGCATTGTGCTCGTTCACATCCCCAACTTTGCTATATTCTCCCTATATTCCTGCAACTCGGCATCCATGGATGTCCCTGTCCATGACTATGACACAAAGGCCTACATTCTGTCTCTTAGTTGAAAAAGCGGCACAAACAACAAGAACAACAAGCAAAGCTAATGAGCGCATTCAGTTAAAAATAACATTGAAAATGAAACATACCCAAATATACACGAATTGAAATGAATTGAATCGGATTGAAAATAACTCAAACAGCTGTTGCTCATCGTCCGCAGCGGACCACGAATAAAATTCCCAGCAACAAATTCGCGCAGAAAAAATACATAAAAATCTATTAGAAACAAAAATACGCGTAAAAAAGAATTATCAAGGCGAGGCATATAAAAAAAAAACAACAAATAGAAAAATAAACGCGAAAAAAACGGAAAATCTGAATGAAAGAACTTTTTCGGACAACTTCCCTCGACGGTGCTAATGTGCAAAGTTTTGTGTTTTCATCAGCAGCAAAGCCAAGAGAAACGGGAAAAACAAGCAAAGAATTCACGGCAAATTATTTAAAAAGAGTGTGCGAATAGACGGGCGACGACATCGGGCCCTGGAGAATTTAATAGCAATAACAACGGAGGAAAAAAAACAAACCACCAGAGGAAATAGCTGGGAAAAGTCTCGAGGACCGCAAGCAGTTCAAGCAGCGACGAAATGCCGTTCGTGACGCCCCGCTCGGGGACAAGCAGTGCAAGTAGTGCACCCGGCGGACGCACCACATTCCGCCCGCCATGG